ACTTAATATAAATTACTGCCCATGTTTTTGTTGTGAGAAGTTGAGATTCTACAAACACCTTGCTTTTACCAAAAATGTTATATTTTTCTTTGAGTGGTATATAATTTGTGAAAGGTCTTCCTCTGTAAGTGCTACAGACATTGTATAAAGAGTACTTCTGCATGTTGCTTTTCATTTAAAATTTGCTTTCTGCACGATAATGAAATTTTAAATGCCCTCTCTGGTCATACTTCTTCTTTTCATGGAATACTAAATAGTAGAAAATAATTATTTAAATTTAGTATGGCCTTGAACTGTTTTATGCAAATTCTCTAGCTGTAGTCGTAGCACAACCCTTTGGCCAGCCTTGGATAGTAAATAATTTGTCAGTCTTTCTTTTATGAACCTTTTGTCTAAGGGTCTGCCAGCCTTTCTTCTCCGTGGGTTTTGATCTGTGTTTATAGATTCCGCTTTTTGTTTTTAGGCTGGCAGATGGCCAGGTATTTATCTGGGTTCATGTGCATTGTGTGAGGCAGAAACAGGACGTTTTGCATGCTGATGTCGTCCACGGGGCATTTGGGGGGCAAAAGGCTGCTCCCAAGCAGAAGCCATTACATGATGTGTCAGTAGCTCTTGGTCAGTGAACAAAGCCCCTTTTGACATTCTCTGTGTTAAAAGTTATGAAATAACATGAGCTTCATGAACAAACAAGGTGATACAATGCTTCTACTATGAAATAAGCCATATAATCCATTTCCCCTCCATTTTGAACTCTCTGGAGTTCAAACATTTGACGCCCTTTTTATATGATTGTCACTGTTATTTAATTCTTTGAATTTATGCTGTTGCTTGTCTTGCTGTTTTACAGACTTCTTGTGCTGTGCTGGGAGAAAAGGATAAAAGGATATTGGTTTTGGAGGAGCTGGATTCACTGGTTCTAATAAATAGTGAATTTGGTGATGTGGCTTGGTTTGTGGTTTCTTCTATAGGTTTGGCAGCAAAGCCAAAACCCTGATCAGGCAGGAAGTTCAGACCTACAGAGACGAATCCCAAAGGCAGAATGTCATAGATGGGGATTCGGTTCACTGTGGCAATTCCTCAGAGTTTCTGACTCTGCCAACATTATTCTGTGCTGGCTATGGACAGCCAGGGGTGCAAATGTGGGAATTTTGAAGGACTGAGGAGGAGGAACAGAAGTCTTTAGGAGATATCTTCAGTTCTACTTAAGTGTGAAGCCATCAAAGACTGGAAGCAAATATAAAAATGCACTTAGTGCTCTGTAGAAGCACAACACAATTAGTTCACTGTTATTAGTGCTGTTATTCCCTTCTTGGTGCTGCTTGCTCAGCTATTGCAGTTCATAGTCCCCTGGGAGTAGAAGCTTTTATGCAGATACAAAAACTGCCCTCAGAAACAACACCTGTTTGGTTCTGCCACTCTCATTGCAGAAAAAAAAAGGGTCAGGTACCTTCAAGAGAACCTGTACATCTTTTTGCTAGTTTTTCTTCCAGTTCTAGTTGTATTTCTCTGTTCTGCATTGCTTAGCAGGGCTGCTTTATAGTATTAAACTCTTCCTGTCTGTGTGAGCTGGCTCCCCATTTATGACTGTAAGCTCACTTCTAAGGAACATTTACAAAATGTTTCAAATTTGTGCAATATTTCCAGATTACAAAGAATGATGGAAAACTTCAACTGGTATCTAAAAGTGCTGCAGCTGAAGCCTGCAGCTATTTCGAGTCAGATGTCTTGGACTATTTAGAGCATATTGCTATATTTACACACAGTTCAGAAAGTTGGAGACTGGCATTGATGAAAGGCAGTGTGTTGGCAACCCCAGCACTTTGCCAGCAGGTGGACATGGTATGATACAAACTTTGGGAATTTGCTTGCTCATATCCCTGTGCCTGTGCAAAGCTGACATGGGCTTTTATGAGCATAAGTGTGAAAGATTTGGGGTCTGCCTTTCACTCAAAAAATGGCATCCAGTGGCAATATCCCTTTTAGCACCTTTTCAGGCCTTCTGGAAAGTTTACAAGTGGAAGACTCCCACCTCCTTAATCACAAGAAAACACTGGCTCTCCTCTGAATGTCATTCATTCAAGTGTGCTGACCTGGCCTGACCTTGTTTAGGTTGAGATCTAATGAGCCCACAACCCAAGGTGGTGTGGTAGCTCTCAGCAGGCTTTGCAAATAAGCAAGTGCTGTTTTTCTGTGTGCATGTGGTTTAAATTTATCATGTCAATAAACAAGTGTCTCACATGCTCAAATAGGGGCTTTACAATGTTGTAGTTAAGGCTAAATTGTGGCACTACAAATTGTGATGTCACTTTATAAATATAGAAGGAGACAACCTGGAATATTTATGACCTCAAAACAATGAAGTCCTGTTGGTTGGGGTTTTTAGTTTAAATAATGACATAACACTAAAACTCTTAATCCAAATGGGTCACAAACATCTTCCAGATGAACAGTCACACTAATGGTTTGGGGAAAACAAAATTAAAATCTCAGGCTGTTGGTTTAAGGAAAGGAGAGGGGCATCAATAGATTAATAAATAATAAATGCAGCTAGGATTTAAATTCCAGTGGAAGGTTTGGTTTTGTTTCCTTTCAAATTGCCAGTTTTGGGGGAAGGTTTTTTAAAATATAAATTGCTGTTAAATTACCCTCACTGATAAAATCACCCTCAGCTTCAGTAGGGACTATACCAAATGTAGTGAGCCAAATGTAGGTATTTTCTGAAGTGCATAAAACCTCAGGTTTTCAAATTAAAAACCAGTCTAGGACAGACTGTGGCACATCCTATTAAATTAACCAAGTTGACATGGATGGATAAAAGTATCTTTGGAACTGGGCAAGTTGTTTGAGGACTCTGTCAGTACCTGTGCTGGGAGCCCCAGGCTGATTGATCCATTTTCCCTGGCTGATGCTGTGGGGCAGCAGGAGGTGCCTCCAGCTGCAAATCCCGACCCTTTCCTGCCAGGACAGCCCTGCAGGAGAACAATGCTCGTGTGTCACACAGCCCACAGCCCATCCATGCTGGAAACAAACGTTGTTAGGGCTTGGTATTTACGTTGGGACCTACACAGAGGGAGCAACTTGTTTTGTTTTTAATGGAGCGGTCAGGGAGAAGGATAAAAAGCTTTTTGATAATGCGAGGAATGTGGGGAGGGGGGGAAGGGAAGTTACCAAGATATGCATTTACTGTAAGTATGAAGAAGCAGAGGCTTCTTTATCAGAGTGCCTCTAATGATGTGCCACAGTCACTTTATTTGAAAGCTTCATGGCTCACAGAAAAGTAAACAAATTCATTACATTATTTTTAAAAGAAGATTAACTGTAGTGTGTCGTCTGTTGGACAGCTGCTGTAGTAATCTTTTACAAACACTTTATAAATGACCACCCTCAGTGTTTTCTAGGGCTTTGTGTGGCTGGGTTGTTATTTTAGTAAGTACCAGGGTGGCTTTTCAAATGAAAACGTTGTTTCCTGTGTAACAATTCAATTCTACCTTCGCCCTAAATATTATTTTGTTCTCAGCATGAACTATAAAATGTCTTCTATACTAATGCAACATATGTTGCCTTTTTGCATGTGTTTGTAATGAATGCTGGCCTTTTCATAAAAGTACTTAAAAAGCATTTTAAACAAGAAAAAGCAACTCCACTTTAGTGTCCAACTTCCATTAGTTCTGATTTCTGCTTTCTTAACCTTTCTTCAGCCTGTGAAAACACCAAGTTGAAAAGATGAGTCAGAGTCAGCTTAGATGATAGGTGAATTGACACTGAACAAATGTTTTAACCCCAACAGGTGTCTTTGGCAAATAAGATTGTGTTCAGGTACTGCTTTGTTTAACATTCTTTGGTTGAATGTCAGCAAGTATAACATTATTAACTCTGTGTCTGGATTTGTGTTTCAAAGCCCTTGACTGACGCAAATTAATTTAACACCAAGGATTTGTGAACTTATAAAGTGCTTTTAACCACTCTTGCCATAAAGCAGTTATCTTCTTGTGCATTCAGATTCCAGTTACAGATTCCTTGACCAGATGAGGGAGCAGCAGGAAGAATAGGAAGAGCATTTCTTTCTCACCCAGTTGGCCTCCAGGCTCTAGCAGAGGACCATACCTGGCAATTGCCTCCCTCAGACATCTGGGAATGCCTGGAATGAATCTCATCTTGCTTTGGAGCAGCATTTTATTTCTACACAACATAATCTCACACTGGATTATGCAGGATAAACACAATGTTTATAATCAGATAAACTATTTTAAGCTCTTCATGTGTATGTAAAATATTTATTTTCATTTGGGATATACTGATGCATATATTTATGGTAATATGGTTTTAGATGTGAATAATTAACTGTTCTGTCTGTAAACCTAAAGAAATGTCAACCTTTGTGAGATATGTATCTCTGTATGTCTACTGAAGATTGTGCATATGTTTCCTCAAGATTGCTAAAGGATCTCCAAGAGGTCTTGGATGAAGGAGGAAATTGTCACATCTTTGCCCTTGGCATAATTGAGAGGAAGCCTCTGCATGGCAGACAGAGGTTTTCTGAGTCCAGGGAAGTGTGTGGTTACACAGCAAACACAAACTGAGGATCCTCAGGAAACCTTACTGCTCCCACTGAAGTGTGTGTGTGCTGAAAAATCATCCAAACCCTCCATCCACTGTGAAACATCCTCTGCTGTTCACATCCCTCCTCAGGGTTGAGTGTGGGAGAGCAAACAGCCCAAAAAGTGTTAGAAATGGTGTTTAATACATAGGTGGAAGGTTCCTGTGGTTCTCAGAGCAGTATCAACATTTATAGGGCAGTTTGACAGATCCTGAGTGCAGCATTTGCAGTTTTGGGAATTGGGCACAGCAGAGAGGTGATGGAAGTACAGTGAACAGTAAAAATATGAAACCTGAACCTTCTGGTTTTAAATATTACCTGTGCCCTTTAATTACATTTATTCATGTTTTGTTCACTTTCCTATAGAAAGTTAAACACTTAATTTAAATGTTTATTATTTCAGGCTACAAAAGAAGAGGAAGAGCTTATTGCAGAGGAAGAGGAAGAACTTACTCCAGAGGAGAAGAGGAAACTGGAAAGAAAACTAAAAAAAGAGCGCAAGAAGAAAGAGAAACAGCTGATGAGGGAAGCTGGAATCCCCATAAAGAAGGTGGAGCCCAAAAAGCCATCGGGATGTGAGCGAGCTCTGGCCTATTTAACCAGGTAAGAAGAGTAAAACCTCTGCAGGTGCTGCCTACACCAGTGAGCTGTAAACCAGTAACCCAGAGCAAGCTGTACCAAGCAATAACACATTAAAGGAAATTGCTGCAGTCAAGCACTAAGTTAATGTTTCATCTCAGTTGACACCCTGGAGGACAGTTGATCACCCCATTGTGTTTCTATTACAGCAACAGCAGAGAGAAGTTAAGTATGGTGCAAACATTTTATAGAAAGGCAGCTCCTGTCCTGAAGATCTTACGGTTGTTATATAAATATCATGGGCTTAGCTGCACTTACAGAGATGAAAGGCACATTCCAAAAAAGATTGGGTTGAGAAAATGAGTTTTGTTTCTTGAGTGTTCTGTTCTAGGCAAAGGACTTCCAGTTGCTCTCTTTATATAAGCAAATTCTGTGGAGTGGTTAAGCATTACAGAGTCTGAATTCACCCACCTGCAGAATGTTTGGATATTTGTATATTAAGATGGGATTTTGCCACTATTTTAAAGTTAATAGCGTACAATGACTGATTTTTGCATACCAAAGTGTACAGCAAGTATAGTGTGCTGATTTCAGATTGTTAGCAATCCTTTCACCTAGTTAGCACACTTATAAGAAGACTTAAAATTCCAGCATAAAGCAAAGTCTGTGCTTAAACTAAAAAACTGCAGCGAAGCACTCAGGGTGCCCCACAGACAGTAAAGAGGTCGTGTACAAACAGGAAGATAATGTTTATTTTTTTCCAAACTACAAAATATACCCTGGCTGTAAGACTCCAGAAGACTGGCATGTTACAAATAGTGGGTTACCACGTGGAATTAATCCAGGGTTGCATCCCTGCCTGTGCTCAAAACTGAAGCATCCAGACTGTCTGAATTGTTACTTACCACTCACAGTGGGGAGGGAGGAAATTAATTGCATTCCAGGCAGAGGGACATGTGCATTTTTGTTACATAACCCTCAGCATGCAGAGATAGCAAAATGACAATAATATTTTTGATCTGGAAAACAGCTGGAGCAGTTCACCACTGTTTTAAACTGCAAATGGATTGACAGATAGCTTTGAACCCTCTGCTCAGCCTGCTCTCTGCTATGTGTGCTCTGGTAAACGGTGGATCTCCAGATAATGCATTTCAGGTTTGCAAAATAAAGGAACAAGCTGTAGGGTTTTGCTTGTTATTCCAATGTTATCTGTATGGATTTTTGTCTTGTTACATGGGAGAATATGAAATTATATTTGAACTAATATTTGAACAAATTTGCTTCTTGAGTTTCACTTAACCTGTACCAAATTACCCTGAAATAGAAAACCAGCTCTGTCATTTGGTCTTATCATACAGAGTCTGTGGGTTGTATGTGCAGCAATAAGTTGTGAGGGATTATTTCAGCAACAGACAATTTGAATTTTGTAGACTTAACAGGAGTAGTCTTAAGATGCTGAACTGCCAGGCAAACATAGCCATAATAACCATTCTAGCCCCAAATGTGCCTGGACTGTCTTGAACCATTATTAACTATAGAAAAACAGCTTACAGTTATAGTAGAAGAGTCCTCTTCCCTCAGACCTTTTTTTCAACCCAGTAAGATTGCAAAAAAAAAAAAAAAACAAACCTGGATTTAAATGAATCCAAGAAGTAATAGACTAGCTGGGGAAGGGAGACAAAAATCCAGGTTCTGGAAATCTACTGCAAGCTCTCCAGCATATTGAGTGGGTGAAGGATTTCAGTCTACATGCTTTTGCAGGGCTACAGGCATGAATAATCTGTGGGAGGATAAGTAAATCTTATAGATGCAAGAAATTAATATAATTGGAAGTAAACAAAAGAGTGCTGTGGGTTTGTGTTTTGCCCCACCCACAATAAAAGCCTTCCATGACAGAAGTGTGGGTAAGTGAAGTGGCATCTGAGCTGCCTGATGGCATGTGCAGCTCCTGTAGCACAGGTGGAGCTCAGTGTACCATATGATAACTGGAACTGTCATTTTTATTTATTGAGGGGCTGTTTGCAGCAGGAGAGCACAGCTGTGCAGAGCTGTGCCTCGTGCTGTCAGTCCGGGGGAGTTAATGAAGAGAGCATTGATGGCAGGAATCGGGCACACAGTGTGCAGGGCAGGGCTGCTCACTGCATCCTGGCTTCCTGCTGCTTGCAGAGCAGCCCTGCAGCAGAGCAGCCCTGCAGCAGAGCAGCCCTGCAGCAGTGCAGCCCTGCAGCAGTGCAGCAGGATTCCAAGGGCTGCACCAAGGCCCTGGCTCCCCTTGGCAGCACTGCCAACCTTTGCCCCCTTTGCTGGGGTCCCCACTGCTGGGCAGGTCTTCCAGTTCTCCAGCTTTGTTATTTGATTCTGAAAACAAATGGTCCTTGATGCTTTCCAGTCTCCAGAGGGATCAAATTATCATTTTATTGGGAGGCCATCCTAGCTGGGAGAGGATTTTTCACCGTGGCCTGGCCACATGCAGCAGCTGATGCCAGCTCAAACTGCAGCCCCCAGCTGCTGCACCTGAGGAGTTGAAGGGTCTCCCCTGTGAGCTGGGTGACTTTGATAGCTCAGATCAGCTCCTTGCTCATTTGAATGAAACCAGGCTGAGCATGACCAGGTTTACACTCCTGATGGAGGAAAAGCAGCCAAATTACTCCTGTTTTTTGCCCCCTTCTCTCACTTTCTCTTGGCCTCTGTGAAAGAGGGAGAGAAAAAAGATTTTGCTTTACCAATTTTTATCTCATCTTTTCCTTGGTGAGATGCTTTCAGGTGGTTCCCAGCACAGTTCTCTTCCAAGGCAGCAGCTGGCAGAGAAAAGTTACTGCTGTCAGATTCCCAGCTTGCTCAGGGAGCACACAGGAAGATCTGAAGATAGAGAGAGGATTAAAAGTAGGGAGCTGAAGCAGAAAGGTTATAAAACTGAGAGGAAAAAAAAAAAAAAAAGCAAGTGAAATAATGGAAAAACCCCAGAGTGGTACTGAACAGAAGGAAAAACCCCCAATTACTTCAGAGGAATAGGGAATTACTTTAGAGGAATAAGGAAGAGCAGGAGTGATGAAGTATAAGTGGCTAAATAAAGTACTCAGATCTCTTCCTTTTAATGATGACATGCCTTGTTCCTTTATGATGGTAAGTGATGATTCAGATTTAAAGGGAATACTCCATTGTCTGCTTAATGTGATTCTTGGAAAATCTAGAACAAAAATTCATCCTTTTCTGAGCATTAGGCGACGTCAATTGAAAAGATGTTGCAATTCCAGAGAATGGTAATTAGGTTTAACTATAACCTAACTGACCTTCTATGGTGTTAAAATGTTGGCAGAACTTGTTTGTCTTGGCAAGCCACCCTCTCCTGGAAGCTGCTGTTCTTGTGTTTGGCTTGGAAAGTTCATTGCCGTATGGATCTGCACATATGGGCTTCTCCATCACCCATCAAAGGAATAGAGAGAGATCTGAAAAGACCTCACTAAAGGAATGTGAAACTACAAGATTCACATCATCTGAAGTAGAAATAATAGATAATATTATCTGCATGTGTGCTGTGAATTACCTAAGCCTTGCAGTACTATTTATGATGTACTAAAATTTGAAAAATAAGGTGCTGAAGTACAATTATTTTTGAAGTTATTTATGCCATACTGTTAGTATTTGTCACTTTTCTTTATCTAGATCTTATTTTTCTCATTGCCTAATTTAAATTCAGGCAAGATTCAAAGAATGTCAGAGATTTCTTTAAAGTAAAAGGATGCTTCTAGAATAATACAAACCAAGGGCATGTTACAGAAACAGAAAAGTGAGAGACAGGCAGAATTTCCCATGGCGTGAGGAAATCATCTGACTCTGCAGATCCCAGGGTGGTTTTTGCTGAGTGTGGTGGCAGCACTGCTGACAGCCCTGGACAACCCAGGGCAGTTGTTTATCTGCTGGCTTTGCACAATGGAAAGATCCCAGTCCTCAGTCAAACTTTATTACAAACAGTGCCAAGCCTGGGAGATTTTAAAGCTGAAATGTTGTCCTTCCTTTCAAAGAATACAGAAATTCGAGGGCTGTTGCTGGAAGCTTTTTTTATAGTTTGCTATTTTTTTAATGCATGTGATATATTATATAGATGTAGAAATAGAAATAAAATGTAGAAAGCATATCAAGTCTTTACTCCTTCTGGAGTAGAGGCTGTCTGGAGAAGGGAATCAAGAGGTGGATTAGTGTTCACTCAGAAGTTTCTGATTTTTGAAGGAACCAGGAGAGGCTGGTGCAGGGCTGTAAAGTGGCAGCAACAGCTGACATTTGTGGCCGAACAGCCCAGATGATGGTGGCCCTTGAGGAAATCACAAACCCATTCATCCAACCCCTCCTGGGGCAGGTGATTCCATTGAAGGAGCTTCTGCACAAACACAACCCTCCTCATTGATGTTGAAAACAGTTTCTAGTTTTAAAGCACCTCGAGTGGGTTTGTGTCACATTTAGTTCCTTTGTTGATTCATAATGTTTTGAAGTTGTTTTACTTCTCACAGGTTACTTTTTTAGCCAGGGTCAGTGATGGCTTTTGACACCTGATTCTGAATTTAAATAATTTTCATTGCTGCTGGTCTATATCGATATGAATTTCAAACTTGGCACTGATGATGTTGTTTCACCATCAACAGCTTAAGCTTTCAGATACGAAGAGTAACTGATAAACTAAGAATCTAAACGTACATAGGTCTTTTTTTTTTTTCCTTCCAGAGACTGACTCCTTGGGTTGAATAACAACTACCTTTAGCATTTAATGGCATTTCTCCTTCCCCTGCTCTCCAAAACTGAGATCAAGTTTCCTTTCTGATTGCAAGGTGCAGCATATATCTAAGCTCATCATTTATCTTGAATTACAAAAAATGTTGGAGAACTGCTCAAGTAATGAATCTCAATTAGCTAGTAACAAAAATAGTGTGTGAACTTAAGAGAAAGTGTTGTAATTAGACACAGCAGTGTTCCTGAATTCCCTTCAACAACTGGGGCTTTAAGGTGTCTTGAAAGAGCAGCAATTCCTCAAA